TATTTACGTAACATTTTATTTTGTGCTGGCTTATTAATCAACCGAGTTTACCTTGAGTTTAGCCTGAGGCATAAAACCAAGCAGAAAATGCAAAAAAAGTTTCTTATTTCTATCTTAATAATAATAATATTAATAATAACAGCTTGTTAGTAGAAATAACAGTACAATTGTATGAACTCAGAATTTTTGAAGACTAGCTTCATGACAAATAAACAGCTTAAATTAAAATTAATATATTATTATTATTATTATATAGAAAACGTTCTACTATTTCTACTAAACTGTTAATTAATAAAATTATAATAATAACAATAATGTATTACTAGAAATAACAGTACAGCTTTATGACTCTTTAAAGATAAACTCAGCATTTTTTGGAGACCAGCTTCATGCCTAATAAAACAGCTGTTATTGGGTTACCAAGTATTCAATTCATGTAGTTAGACATCATTTAACAGTATTATAAAATGTACCATTAATGTCTTTTCATCAAACTTTTTAATGAGGAAAAATACTGAGTCTTCCTTTAAAATATTATAATGAAACAATAGAAAAACAGGAACTGTGACAGGCCTGTGCAATAAACACAAAGTGCATATGAGTGCTGATTTCCAGCATGTCAAGCAGATAAGTGCTGTGCCAAGGGCTCTTCAGATGGCATGAGATGCACAAATGACGAGCAGCGTCTAATGCAAATGTCAAAGGCATGCGATGGAGGCAAGGGTCTGCGTGGTGTGACAACTCTCTCCCCTCTATCTCTCCATCATTTCATCCTTACATCAGCCCGGCCCCTGTACACCTGATTGACTTATTCTACTAATCTACATATCAATTACATCAATTATCTCCACCTTGCTGCCAGGGGCCGCTTTGAGTGATGGGATCTGGCAGGATGTGATTATTGGTCAGTAGGGGTGAAGGTTTCCAGCTTGCTGAAAATGCTTTAGGTCTGTATGGAAATGCAAAGCAAGCTCATTAGGAAGTCATATTGTTCATTATAAACATGCATAAAATGTGTTGCAGGTATAAACCTCTGAGTGCATCAGAATGCACAGAATGTATGGGAACGCTGGAAAGTACCTGAATTACATCCGTTTTGAATAAAGGGGCGGAATTTAAATGTGCCGCTGAGTCATACAGTCATCAAGTTGATCTGTCAATTTTGTAAGCAAGCTGAACTTTACCAGCCATCGTTGCATCAGGGTTGGACACTGACAGCCGCATTCAGTTGTGAGACTCTGGTAATGGCTGTGTAGATGCCTCACAAGAGCAGTGATGTAATTCACGACATGTCGGCTCCACGTCGGCTCCGTCAGGATTGCCAGCCCTGTTTCCACGTGATAAGGACACTGAAAATTCATTGCATATTTTGGGGCAGACGGATGGGAGAGGTGAGATTAATGTTGAGACAGAAGCAGTGAATCGGACTGACTATACCAGTTGTAATGAAAAACTCCAAAAGGGCCATGATTCTGCTAACAGTTGCCTTGATGATCCCATTACTGTGCGGGATCACATTCCCCCGTTGAACTACTTGTCATTGGGGATGAAGGACTGATCCCTCTAACCCTCTCTGTTTAAAAGGATCATTTAGCACTGTCCTCCCAGACTCTTCAGATGGAAAGCTCGGCTACTATAACTTCGCTTTGTGTTTGAGGTGACACACTGATTGTCCAATGTCCCCACTCTCATTGCTTCCCTCTTCCACTAAGTGTCCAGCAGCCATAAATGCATCCAGCACTCAGACAACAAAAACAACGCATGACTGCTTTACTGATCAACTACTACATCAAAATGAAAGTCATCCTGTTGGTTACACCCATCTTCTCAGTTCTCAGTATGTAAGGAGGCTAAGATAAAAGCAAAGCTAAGTTTACATGTTGAAATTCATTAAAATGGAATGAAAAAAGTGTGTATGGTTGGTTGGTGTTCAAACAAGTTAGAATTTTCAGCATGAAGAATGTGCACAATTTGCACAGCAACCCAATACATCTTTATGACTTCCTTCACAACGAATCCAAAATATTGCTGAGATTTTTTTTTTTTAATTCAGAGGCTCAATTTTGTTCATTTTCTATAGCAAGAATCAGCACTAGTTTTAGTGTGATTTTTTTGCAAATAAGTTATACTCTCAAAGTAATTAATTTGGATTTGGTGTGAACAGGACTTAACCCACATTGTGTAGCAGTTAATTCTGCTTAGCCAAGTTAAATCTCAAGAGTGCTGATGTACAATACAGTACAACAGAGTAGTCTGTGTTTGTGGTGTTCCAAATCTTATGTGAGTGGTATTGAGCGGAAGTGTGGTTGAAAATTTCAACATCTATGAAATGGAATGGAACTGGTGGAGTTTTCTTCTTTTAGCTCTTTACCATATGCACCAGTTCCTTTATTAAAATAAACATTGATAAAAGAAGTTCATTGATTCATTGATAAAAATCAAATGACTTGAACAATCACCAGCTCTGTTTCTCTGTTTGCAGCAGTAAAGCAGATCTACACGGCCTGCTTTGAGTTCATGCAGATGTGACAACACTGAGCAACTGGCAACACTGTGCGAGGTAGAGGTATCCGAGTAAAGGCGAGGATATATATATATATATATATATATATATATACACACACACGCACGCACGCACGCACACACGCACAAATGTTCAAAATATATATATACTACCAGTAAGATTTTGTAATTGCAAATGAAGAAAAGACAAAAAGAAAACACACTACCGAGCATAAGTCTCTTATGCTCACCAAGGCTACATTTATTTGATCAAAATACAGTAAAAACAGCAATATTGTGAAATGTTATTACAATTTAAAATAAGTGTTTTCTATTTTTATATATTTTAAAATGTAATTTATTTTTATGAAGGTAAAGTTGAATTTTCAACAGCCATTACTCCATGATCCTTCTGCTGATTTGGTGCTCAAGAAATATTCATTATTGTCAATGTTGAAAACAGTTGCTTGATATTTTTGCCAAAATTTATACTTTTTTTCAGGATTTTTTGATGAATAGAAATTTGAAAACAACAGCATTTATTTGTTTTTATGTATTTGTTTGTTGCATAATAAATGTCTTTACTGCCACTTATGATCAATGTGATGCATCCTTGCTGAATGAAAATATTAATTTCTTAGGGGAAAAAATTAACTGACAGCAGTGTATAGCAAATGCTGCACAAACTGGGAAAATATATACTTTTTTCTTTAACAATTTGTGCATCTAAACAAAAATGGGAGAACAGGAATCAAATAAATCACAACAAAAAGTAGAAGATGCAAGACCTGGATCATAATTCAAACACCACAAAACAAAATATGCTTAAACAGCTAGAAACTCTACCAGGTGATTAAAGCCTGTAGCACAGGGCAGCTCTTCAACTTTGAGGATTATCACTGGAATATGACAAGCTCACTGGACACTCAGCATATGCTAGAGCTCAGCAGGAAGACAGGTTGTCAATGCTGCACACAATCTTTGATTGACACAGGTGTCAAAAAAGATGCCTGGAAAGAACATAAAAGCTGGACATAAAAAGGAGCACATCTGGCCTACACTTTTATCCAACAAACCCATCTCTCCTCTAGATCTGCAGTGAGTGCAAAGAGCACAAGGCCACTCCCCATGTGATCTATTAAGGAACAGATCAAAGCGCGCACATGACGTACTAAGCAAAACGTACATGCGCACACATATCAGGGTGCTGTATCAACAGCCTGCTTTCCAGTGTAATAACTCTCCTTAATCAAATCAAAGCTTTCTAGACCCACTAGGTCTGAGCAAACCGGTCGATAAAGTGGAAATGCTGAATAAGAGTAAGGGCTTACCGTGGCCTCCTCTTGTGAGGAAGGGCATCCTGTTGATGGCGATGGGTACGGTACCATGCTTGTTATGGAAGTGATGGACATGGTGTGTGGTGCTCAGGCTGGAAGACACACGGGCACTGGCCGATCTGTCCGGTATCGAGGCCAACAAGGCCAGAGATAATGCCAACCTCCACCAAGAACCGAGGCCCAGCCAGCTGCCTCCGCCACACTCCCAGCCCAGAAGCACCACCTCCAGTCTGGGGCAAGAAGGTCCGGCATAGGCCCTTCCACACCCCATTTGTCCCATCCTTTGGAAAGAGTACATCTCAGAAAGGGTTGCCCATGTCAGTCATTATCCACGGGTCAAGTAAACAATGCAGAAGAAAACAATGCTACCCAGAGCCCCGAGGCTTTAACAGTAGGTTTCCAAGAGACGATAAAATCCTCAAAAAGAAGAAATCCCTTTCAAGTCCGGCTTAAAAAAATCCAAAGGGGGAAAAAAAAACAATCGGTCAGTTCCTCCTGGCTTTCACGCTTGGTGACTATCAAAAAAGAAAGAAAACCAAACAAGGGAGCTTGTCTGCGAAGAGGAGGAGGAGGGCAGGCTCGATGGAGTCGATAATCATCTGCGCTGCAACTCCCAAAAGCGTTCTAATCAAGGCCGCACGGATCAATATTTTTGGATGCAGATTTTGTGCCTTAATTGATGAGGGGAGAAACGCTCCAGGTGGAAGAGATGCCGGGAGGTGTCTCCCTTCGAGTTCCCAGCCTCAGGTACGACTTACGTGCTATTTAGACCACTCTCCCTCAGAGGGCAGCTCCTCTATCGCGCAAGAGGAGATAAGAGACATCCTGGGGGCTAATGGATTATTCTAATGCCGATTAAAAGATGACAGCAAACAGAGAACAGAGGAAACAGATAGGATGAGACTGACCCAGGCGCGATGAAGCGTTCACGTTTCCTTTTTGCAGACGGAAAGAAAGAGAGACTTCTGCTGCAGCATGGTAGAAGGAAAAAGCAGCAAATAAATAAATAAAGCCGTCTGTGACTCCTGACGCGTTGGCTGCAGACGCAGCGCGAAGCTTCTCCGCTGCGCGTTCCCTCTCGAAGTGGAAGACCCGGAGCGGAGCTGGATCAGTTTTCCAGCAGCATCCTGGATCGCTCTCTTAGATTGTTGTCTCTGCCTCTGACGCGGACACCGTATCAATTAGCGCTGCATTTGATCCCTCTTTTCTCTTTTCCCTCCCCCTTTCCGATAAGCATTCACTTGCTAATGTGCTTAGTCTGACAGTGTTACCAGCAAAATGCCCCTCGCAGCTGAAGTGTGGATGAACAAAATCCGTATGTGCGCCTCCTCACGATCCTTGATAGCTCTTCTCCCGGGATTGATGGGACCAAGAGCAAAGGCTAAGAAAAAAACCCCTCAGAAACAACAAGCGTTGCTTGCCACAAGCGTGAGGTGCAGGACGAACGGTCCTTCTTCTGGATGCTCAACCAGAGACTGCTACAGAGATGTAGAGAGAAACAGGGAGAGGGAAGGAGAGGAGAGCGGTGCAGTGTGCGTCTGAGGGAAAGAGAGAAAGAGAAGGGAGGGGTGCGCAGGGAGCGGGCGATCGTAGTGCATAAGCACACATGCAGACATAGAAAGAAGCCAAAAGATGGAGAAGAAAAAAGATTCAGTTGCACAGCACACATGCAACCAGGAATACAAATTCAGTGCACTGTGCACACTCACCACAGCGTCTGAAAACACATCAGCCCCACACTGCAGAACTTGACCAGTGAGACTAGCAATACAAGATGCTTATTCCTGCAATAGTACGTGAAAGTGCCAAAGAAAGAGAGAGCTTTGAAATGGTGTTTTTTTTTTTGCATTTTTACAGGTGGTCTATTGTTATCCAATGTGGAAATCATGCTCAGGAAATCTGAAAAGACTTGCTGGTGCCAGATGCAACCCACCCCCCTACTACCAAGATAGCAGTAGTTGGTTCCCGATCTTGATGAATAATTTAGTATGAGACAAAATTTGACGGCAAATGCATGCCGCTGTGTTTCTCTTCCATTCTCTAAATGGTTCCATTTCACACTCATTTGTTTAGGTTGTTTTATTAAAGGTGTGTTTATTCATACAGAATCATTTTTTAACTATACAGGGTTAGATAGATATTCAAATTCATGTGCGTATGTCTCAAGGCCCATGAGATAAAATGTATCTGTTTGTGATTTTCAGTAAACGTTAAATTTGTTAAACGAATTATATATACACACACAGTATATATATATATATATATATATATAGGCAACAGAGGTGAAGTTGAAGCACTAATTTTACCAACTGAAAATATATATAAAAATTTTTTTACGTTTAAAATTTAAAGTAATATTAAAAAAATATAAACCTAAGTAATATTTAAAAACACCGTAAAGTAAAATAAAAAGTTACTAAAAACTAAACTAAAAATGAAATATACACAAATAAAAATACACAAATAAAAGCTACTTATAAAATAAAAAACTATAATAGTACATATAATAGTACTTAATGCTATTTCTGTTTGATTTCAGTTAATTTGTTTATTTAAATCTTATTAATTTATTATTTTAGTAACTTTTTAATTTGCTTAAATTTAACATTTATTAATATTATATTTTATTAATATTTAAATTAGTTTAATTTATTAGTAAACAAATAATTCAGTTTTAAAATATCCTATAATTTTATTTATTGATTATTTAAAATATAATTTAATTGTGAGCTTTTCCCTCACCCGTTTGGCAAATGCTTTTATAAAGCGGATAGTTCCGGTGCTTGATTCTGATTGGCTGAGCCGCGTTCGAAGCTGTTGTAAATGACTCTACAAAGTAACATACACCTTTGTTTACGTTTGTGTGTTGCTCGGCAACCACTTTGTTGCAACCA